GACTGCAAGCTTTCCATGCAAGAGGATAGCTCAGAAGATGCCCCCAGCCAAGGCCAACATTTTCAGAAGGCTGTGGGGCCCAGTGTCTGGGGAAGGACCCACAGCACTCTGGGTTCTAATCCTTGCTCAGTCACCCACTAGGGTCTGAGCTCAGGTGCCTCAACATTCCTGAACCACCTTCTCAACTGTGAATGAGAACTAAAACTGCTGCTACTCATGATGAAATCTGCCAGGTCTCTCACGTGGGGTGAGGATGGGCACACAGGATAATTTATGAACATATCATTAAGGATATTTTAAAACTATAAAATGTGAGAGAGAGTAATTTTTGTGGCTAGGACACATGTTTACAAGACTGCTTAATAATACAAATTTTTAGATCAAAGGGGAAATTTCCTCTGTTTTGCCTGGGGTCTTCCAAAGGGCGGATATTCAATTAATATGCAATTATAATAAGGGTAACTTTTTAAAGATTAAGGAGCTAAATATATTTGTCAGGAAAATAGCAAACTTGCAATTTATTGGAGTATTTTACAAGGCAAAAAGGTGTTGTCTGGTGGGTTTCCCTCTGAGTGTAGGGGGGGTGTACAAGAAAGGTGGGTCTGGGCCTTCCCAGATGACCGCATTATCATTGTGCCAACAGCAAATAGGACAAAATGGAAGATTTTCAGACTTGACGTCCAGGCAAGTCACTGTCACCGAAATTAACCTTTGAATTCATTATGAAAAGTAACAAGTAAGGCCAAAAAAAGTTAACCTCGAACAAGTCCCCCCATAAAAAAAAAAAAAATAATAATAATAATCAATAATCTTGTTAAAAGTAGACCTAACTAGTCTCACACCTTGGGGCCAGAGATCTAAAACTCTTTAAAAGCTTCCAGCATGGGGTGCCTGGGTGGCTCAGTGGGTTAAGCATCTGCCTTCAGCTCAGGTCATGGTCCTAGAGTCCTGGGATCAAGTTCTGTGTGGAGCTCCCTGCTCAGTGGGGCGGTCAGCCTCTCTCTCTGCCCTGGCCTCTCCCTGGGCTCGTACTCTCTCCTTCTCAAATAAATAAAATCTTTAAAAAAAAAAAAAAAAAAAAGGTTACCAGCTCCCAGCTTCCAGTAGTGAGTGGTGAGCAGTGGGTTGTTGGTGTTTTCATAGCAGCTGAGCTATAAGAGCTGAGTTAGGTCTAGAAATGCTATTTCTCCCTCAGGGCAGCTTAGCTGAGGCACCTCAGGCAGTCCTCCCCCTCTGGGGGCCCAGATTCTCATTCAAACCTTTCTGTCCCTTCCTTTTCACACACGCACAAGCTTTATTTGTTAATCCTGTGGCTTGTTCCAAAAAAGGAACCGAGGCAGCTAATAATCATATCAGCAATATGTAAAAGGATAAAAATAACAATACAAGGTATCTTGAACTCCTCAAAACCGGGAACACCTCAAGATAGTTTTTATTTATTTATTTTTAAAGATTTTTATTTATTTATTTGACAGAGATCACAAGTAGGCAGAGAGGCAGGCAGAGAGAGAGAGGGCGAAGCAGGCTCCCTGCTGAGCAGAGACCCCCCCCCCCCGCCCCATGCGGGGTTCGATCCCAGGACCCTGGGATCATGACCTGAGCCGAAGGCAGAGGCTTTAACCCACTGAGCCACCCAGGCGCCCCTCAAGATAGTTTTTAAAGCGCATTGCATGAACCAAATATAGGGGCATCTGGCTCGGTTGGTCGAGCATGAAACTCTTTAGGGTCCTAAGTTTGAGCCCCATGTTGGGGGTAGAAATAAGTAAATGAATAAAATAAATAAAATTACTCAAAAAAATAAGTAAATAAATAACATTTAAAAATAACAAAATCTATTAATAAGACCAGGGAGCAAAATGGGATTTTACGATCCTTCGACATGACCTGCTCACTCAGCAGTAACCCTAAAGGATATGTGTTTGTTACTTCCTGTATTCGCCTTTCACAATGAGGTATTTTAAGTTAAGCAACGAAGTTATGAATCTGGACGAATGTAGTTCTGAATGATAAACACATGTAAGCCAGCAGGGCTTGTCAAGTCTTCCACAGCCTGGACTTCAAACCCAGGACTTGGGCCCATCATCTGATAAGATCTTCTACAGAGATCTGACCTCTGTCCAAGTCATTTTCAAATCAAAAAGCTCTGAACTCCTGGCAGGGTTGACGGCTTGGACCTTGGGTGTTGATCAAGGACTTCCTCAAGATAGAAAGGATGACTCCATTGCCACCCCTTAGGGCTCCCGGGCCCTTGTGAGAGCTGGCACCCAGCCAGGGCCTTAGAATGTCAAGGAGTGAGTTCGTGAATGGCCTCCCTAGGGCACACAGGGGACATGCAGCTCACAACAGAGCTAACTCCATAAATAAAAAGTGGCTATAGGAAGTCGGGGACTACTTGGCTCTGACTCTACCCTGTGCAGCCTGGTATGAGTGCTTGTTTTTGGCTGGCCAGAAGAAGCTCTTCTTCTTGGCTGCCTCTTAACCTTCCCAAGAGGGAGCAATGACAGCACCCATTCTGCATGTTCCATGCCAGTGATTCGATATGAGCAATACCGAATTGGGCACCTCCACATCGACCTAGGCCCCCAGCGGGCTGGCTGTGAGCTCTCTGAGCTGGGAGGTCACCCGGCTAGATTTTGCAGAGCAGGTGCAGGGCTTTATAATGCCCAGGACACCCTGGGGAATCTTATGAGCTGACATCAGAAACATTTCAGGACTCTCCAGCACTTTCTACAGAATACATTGGCCTCTACTTATTTTCTTCTTATACAACTGCAGTTAGCTAAGCCCCTAAAACGAATTCTGACCTCTCACCTGCCTAGCTCTCTCCCAGCATCTGTACTGTCCACCTCCCAGCTTTCTACACAACAGCCACAGGCCATACCAGCTTCGTTTGGAGTTTTTTCAAACATGCCAGACTTGTTCCCACCTCCAGCTCTTTGCACTGCTCACCCTGTGCCTGAAACAGCCTTCCTCTGGTTCTTCCCATAGCTGCCTTCTCTCATTACGCAGGTCTTAGCTCAAATAGCATCTCCTCAGAGACCTGTCTGCATTATAAAAAAAGAAAAAGGCCCACTAAATCTTCAGTCTATTGCGACTTCCTTCATAGCACTTAATATAATCTGCAATTAACGTGTATTACCTGGGCCCTTCGCTAGAATAGTGGCTCCAGGAAGACACCATTTCAGATGCCCCATTGCTATCCTGTCAGTTCACATCCTTCCTCACCCCACCAAAGGGCAAGAGCAGACTGCTGGAAAAATGTGGTTGCCAGAACATCTTTAAGGTCGGACCAGCCCTTGGGTTCAGCTACTAAGAGGGACTGGGCAGAACTTTCCTGGTGAAGCACTAGTGCTTAAAAAAAATCAATGTACTCTGACACAGATGCTCAATATATAGATATTGAACAAAGATGCGAGCTAGGATCAAAGTGGCTTTCTTTGCTGCAGGGTCGGACAAAAAGAGACACCAGGAGATAAAACAGAAAGAACCAGCCCCTTCTCTGCCCGATAACATCACAGACTGCTGATCTTCCCCGGCAGGAAAAGGAAGGCAGTTTCTAAACCAGCTCTAACAAGGAGAAACTAATCACAGCCAGGCCCAATACAAACCCCGGACAAGAAGCTTTTATAACCGTAAGCTTATTTACCCAGATCCCTAGTGGGTAGGAGAAATCAATCCTTGTTGTAAAGTATTCAAAAGCCAACCCGATGATGGAGCCAGACCAAATTTTCCTTCAGCATGTTAGAGATGTGGGTCCTAATTTACAGCCATCTTGGCATCTCTATAGAGATGCACACAGCTCAGAATATGATATCATGATAATAAAAAAATATACCTGTGCTTCCTTTTGAGGGACTTAGCAATATACAGGAAATCAGCTGTAAAAATACTCTCAAATACGAGATACTAAGAAACAGTTAAAGTTTTTAGGTGTTATAGTTTTTTATGCTATGTTTTTTAAAAAATAAGAGTACCTATCTTTGAAAGACACATACCAAAATATTTACAGATAAAACAGGGGCTGAAATTGACTTCAAAATAATCGCAGAGGAAGGCAAGTGGGCGGGAGTACAGACAACGTGGGGCTGGCCCAGGCCCAAGCCCAGAGTAGCTGGAGGGTAGTGGGCCTTTGGGAGGTAAACTATTTGCTGTACTCTGTACAGCTGACATATTCCCTAACAGAAAGGCTTTTTCAAAAAAGCCCTTTAAGCCAAGTCATTTTCACTTGTGGCATTAAAGAAGTTACCTGAAGGGGTGCCTGGGTAGCTCAGTCCATTAAGCGTCTGACTCTTGATCAGCTCAGGTCATGATGTCAGGATTGTAAGATCAAGCCCCGAACTGGACCCCATGCTGGGTGTGAAGCCTGCTTGGGATTCTCTCTCTCCCTCTGCACCCACCCTATCTGCTTCCCCCAGGTTCTCTCTCTGGAAAAAAAAAAAAAGTAAATAAATGAAGAAGTTACCTAAAGGTGAAGGTTTCGCCTTTCCAGTCTTGCAGGGGGTGCTCCTGGATGATGGCCGGGGTCAGAGGAGAGTTCTGCCGTGGGGACTTGGAATGGGGCAAGGTCCCTAGGTGACTGAAGTTATCACAGGACCTGATGGGAGGAGGGCCTTTTTTCTTCCGTGGGAGGGTGCCATGTATAGACACGTCCTGATAGGCATCTGCGGGATGCTCAGCTGGAGGGGACTTGCTGCTCAGAAGGTCCATGGACGAGGCCAAAGGGAACTGGTGATTCACTGGCATGTTTCTGGGAAGGCTCACAAATTTTCCCGCAGCCATAATTCTCGGCTCCTCTAAGGGGAAGAGAAAGAGCAAAGACATGAATCTCAGGCCATCACGAGAATGGACTTCCTGCTCACAAATAGAAATGGAGACGTACCGTAGAACAAAAGAACAGGTTCGTGGAGCATTAACAGGACAAACAGTGCATGGCATCACCAGTGAAATGTAATACAAATGGGAAGTTGAACCATGTCCCTTTTTTGATCCTGAGGAGGAATTCTCCTGGGTTGGCAGCAGATCCACTGATGGAAAAGTGCAAACGTGTTTCAGAGACTCTAGGGGTACATGAGCCATTTTATTATTTCAGATGACCGAAGCTGATGGAAAAGCATGACTAACAAAAAGGACTCTTGAGGAAGTACTCAAGTTTTTGAGGTAAGTGCAGTAGAGAACACATTATAAATGTTAGATAATTAGCCCCTGTCTTTCCACCACCCTGTACATGATAAGAACAGGTGGAGATTACTGGAATTCCTCAGCTGCTAGGACTTCAGTGACGACCAGCCCCTCAGTTGTGCTACCCAGGGTAACCGGGCAGAATTTTTTCTAGCAGAGACTTGGTGCTTACAAATAAATCAATGTGCTCTAATTAACGAAGACGGGCCAGGGTCAGGGGTGAGGAGGTGGGTCACTCCTCCCTACATGAGTGGGCTCAGCTGCAGAGGAAAGCTCCTGGGGTGAGGGTACATTGTCCCCCAGAGGGGTCGGAAACACGCCTGCCACTAGCAGGGTTAAGCAGCAAGCATGTTGTAGTCAGGGAAGAGTGGGAAGGAAGAGAAATAAGACAAAAAGGGGGGAAAGGGAGAAGAGTACAGAAAGAAAAAGAAAACATGTACTAGGCTGTATGCAAAAGTAGACCCAACAATTATGCCCAGCTACGATCACTAGCAGAAATGTTTGCCCTGAGCAAGAGGCAGCATACGCCCACCTCCCCCCTCCAAAAACAAACTATGGTTTTGGCCTCAGCCAAATTAGACAAGTCATTTTTAAGGCCAATATTATAGGAAAAGAAACCCATGCCTGAATAAAAATTAGAACTAGTCCCTGGCGACATTAAGGATCCAGAATCCATCCCACCCGCCAGGGAACCAGACTGGTCTGGACAACACAGCAGCCTAACTCAGTCTGCCTGATGCACTGGCCTCCCTGATACCGGGGAGCAAAACATTTCCTTTGCTCTGTAGTCTGTCCTAAAGCCCTGCAGCCCCCATTCCTCACAGGCCACCCCTCTCCACTGCAAAAGGACAGCTTGGAGTGAAAATCATTACTGAATAATACCCCTGCAGAGTCCATTCCACAGAGGAACTGGGGCCTTGGGATGTGGCCTGAAGACAAGCAAGCACACTGTTGCAGAAGCTCACGGTGAGGCACACAGAACCGGGACGAAGGTAGCACAAGGGGAATGACCAACAACAAAACATCCACAATCCCTTGCTTCACCTGCGACAGACAGAAACACACAAGTGCCAAGCGCTGGACAGAAGGAAAGCCTTCCTACGAGGTGTATGATCCTAACGCTGTCCTCCTTCTTCCCCAGACCTGGTCATTCTGGGGCCTGTCTGCTCCACGCCAAACTGTGACCACACAGAAGGCCTGGCTCACCGCGGGTGCAGAACAATAGGACTGTGAGTCCCCATGTGGGCCGCTCCCAGTTCTGGCCAGCACCTGGCACAAGGTCAGAACTTACTCAATGTTAGTCATCATTATTTAAAAAAGAAATCCAAGCTCCCTGGCCCTCCCCGCCTAACCACCAGTGACATAAGCCTACCAGGATTCCCTTACCCTACACACACACACACACACACACCCCGCCCCCCACAGTTGTGAATGCTTGCCTGTCCAAGTTGTCAGCACCCTCTTCAGAGGGAGACATAGATCATTCCAAAGAGCCTGCTGGGGAGTCCCAGAGCAGCCCACAGAACCTCTTTCTATGCAGAGGGATAGTTGAACAACTCTCTCCGGTTCTTACGATGGGTAAAGGTTGCCCTGGCTCCAACGTCTCTGGCCACAGGTTTCTTCTCTGCTTATCCAAGATCTCGATTTCAAAACAGAGCTAAAGTGCTCCAGAATGCCCTTCAGCAAGCTTCCCATACTTCAGTTTACTCTCTGCATTGAGGGTTAACACGTGCCCTCCCTACTTTCAATTCAAAAAACACTGAAATACTTCTTGCATATAAGATACTTAGAGAATCAATGATGTATCAGCCCCAATTCCTGACCAGGAACTCAGAATCACCAGGGACCCTTCACATGCTGGAGGGAAGAACAATTAATCTCAACAAATTGACTTGAGGAGGATCTCAAACAGGGCGATGCTGGAGATGAGACATTGTGGAGGGATTCTGAAAGGTCAAGAATTGTATGGAAAAGCCTTCCGAGAGGATGCTAGAGGCAAGGAGGTGCCTCCAAGGTTAGGTGCTAGAGAAGATCTGGAAGGGAGGGAAAGAAGCCGGTTTGTGCCCAAGTGGGTAACTCCGGGACTTCTGGAAAGGAAAGAAGGGAGACAGGTAGGCCCGTCAAGCTGCTGCCCACAAGCCAGCGAGGAAGGATTTAAAACCCTGACCTCGGGCAGTGGCCAAGCAAAGGAGGGACAAAGGGAAGAATGAGGAGCTCGAAGCCACAGCCACGGGAGGACAGTACGATGCTGTAATGTGCAGAGTGGGTAAGAAGAGGCCTCCTGCGGGAGGGAGGCTAGCAGGCTGGCCGCTGAGCTGGGGAGTGTGAGGAACCGATGGCGCAATTCAGTCTTAGGAGGTGAGATACTGGTATGTTCGCTTAGGAGCCAGAACAGGATGTGGATTTTTAAAAATCATCAACATAAAGGGAATATTTAAACCAGAGAGTAGATCCCTTAGCTTGTTATTATCAACTGTGATAACAGATGTGAAAGTACCTCTTAAACTGTCAGGAACCATACAATATCCATGAATTATATCCCTGCTCTCTCACCATGGCTGCTTCGAGCCTATAGGGCCTAAAGCAAGGACTGAGTTTTGAAAACCTGAAGCTGGGGTGGGAAACAGGGCGCGGGGGCGGTCCTCCAGCTGGCTGCACATAAGAATCTTTGAGAAGCTTTTAAAATCCTGACACCCAGGGTGCTGGGTGGCTCAGTCAGCTCAGCATCTGACTCTTGATTTCTGCTCAGGTCGCAGTCTCAGGGTTGTGGGATCGAGCCCCACGCCTGGCTCCGTGCTCAGTGTGGAGTCTGCTTCTCTCTCTCCCTCTGCTCCCCAACCCCTCTTAGTAAATAAAATCTTTAAAAAATATCAAAATAAAATCCTGGCACTCAAGCTGTGACCCAGACCGATGACATCAGAACCTTGGTGAGTGCGACCCTGGCATCAATCTTTTGAAAGCCACCAGTATTGTCCAAAGTGGAGTCGGGGTTGAGGCCCACTAGATAAGCAAATCTCTTTGGTAAAGAGCGACTCACACTCGGACTGGGCTACCCAAGGAATAGAACAGAATGGCAATGAGGAGGGGTCCCTCAGGAGAAGCATCAATTCATTCTTCTCGTCACCACACACAGGGTGCAGGGCCTCCTCCATGGTGGGCACTGTGACTGGTGTTGGGGACAGTGTCAACAACAGTACTCACGAGGTTACTACTCTGTGGTGGAAGCAGACAGCAAGTCCCGGCCACACAAGCTGGTGAGTCTCAGAGCTATGGGAGCACAGAGTGGGGACCAGGGTTTAGACTTAGCCAGTGGCCAGAGAAGGCTTTGCTGAGGACGGGATGCTGAGCTGAATAATGTAAAGCAGAGTTTAATAACCAGACAGAGATTATCCAAGCTGAAACCTCCAGAGAATTCTTAGCTGCAGACAAATTTGAAATATGTAAGCCAGGCTCCCCCTACAACCCACTACCTCTAAATTGGGACTCTTCCCCCATTAAAACATAGGCTTGCCCTGTGTGTAGTCACTTGGAAACACTGGCTCAGTCCTGGGCCCTATATCAAGCTTGAATCAGCCTAAGAGTGGGGGAGGTGGGCCCAGACCAGAGACACAACTTCCAAAAATATAACTAAAAGTGGGACGGAGGGCAGAACGGAGAACTATAGGTGGAAGGAACACATTTACCACCTTACTACAGGGTACTCCCTGTATTTCCTACTTGACCCTTATTCACTTTTATTTTTTCCAGACTCTAGAAACCTAGGGCAAATCCAAGGGAAGGAAGTACATGGTATGTAGTTGGGATCTAGGTTCAAGGTAAGTATCTTTCAATTTTTTAACATTTATTTATTTGAGAGAGAGAACACAAGGAGGGGGAGGGAGAGAGAGAAGCAGACTCCCCGAGGAGCAGGGAGCCCAACTTGGGGCTCCAGGGCTCCATCCCAGGACCCCGGGATCATGACCTGAGCCTAAGGAAGACACCTAACCGACTGGCCACCCAGACACCCCAAGTACCTTTCATTTTGAAAGCAAAGCCACTTACTACATTTGACTCCACCAGGCAGAATCTCAGAGTGTTACATATAAGAAGGATCTCAGAGAATCAAGCCAAATAAAGGAAGTAAATGTTCATTCACTGAGTATATATTTTCTAAGGGCTTACAATGTACCGGGGATGAAGATTTAAAAAAACTAGACAGGGTCCTGGCTCTCATGGAGTATAAGTTAGGACTGGGGAGGTGGGGTGTCCAGTCAAAACAGACAAGAAAACATACCAGGTAATATCCCAGCCTCATTGTCCTAAAGAACACAAACCAGGAAGAAATGATAGAACATACCAGTTGGGATGGAGAGCTAGTTAGATTAGGGTGGTGTGGGAGGACTTCTCTGAAAAGGTTCCTGAAAAAAGACATAGAACCAGTCAAGAGAAGATGGGAAGGGAGTTCCAGGAAGGGTACTGGGCAAATCAAAGGCTCTGAGGTGGGCATAGTGCTTGGAAAAGTATGGTGAAGACTAACCCCAATTCTCCACTTCCTGGCTCCCAGGTTTTCTCTACTTGGTGATGCTTCTGTCTCAATGTTTCCAGCCATTACATACTTCTTACGTACTTTGGGATTTCTTTTTTTTTTTTTTTTTTTATCAAACACAGTATGACTCAGAACCTAGGCTTTGAAGACAGACATTCACAGGGCCAAATCCCTACTCTGCCATTAACTTACTAGCTGTGTGGCCTGGAACAAGTTACTCAACCTCTCTGACAGCTTCCCATTTGTAAAAATGGGTTAAAAACAGCTCTTTTGTGGGACTGCTCTGAAAAGTAAATGCAACGGTGTAGAGAAAGCCCTTGACATGTGGCAAGAACTCAATAAATAGCCGGTCTCCTCCCAGCAGGTCAGGGACCAGGTCTGTCTTGCTCAGCATGGTATCCCTATTACAAAGAGAGTTCACAAAAGAAGTCACTGCTTCTGGGAAACACCCGCAGCCAGGAAGGATGGGGAGTAAATGTTTTAACTCAGAGCCATAGACATAAACACCAAACCAAGTAGGACACAGACACACACACAGGCCCATGGAGAGAGCCTACAGGCAGTCTTATTAAAAGAAAAGCCCAGGTGAGACTTTGGCTACCTGACGTCACCTCTCTCCACTATGCAGGTAAACAGACACGGTGTCCTAATTCAGTCTAATGCCAGATCTTGAAATATATACAAAGGTCAAAGATTCTGCATCTTGATATGAACATATGAGACCTTTGTGAATGTCCAAAGAGCTGCAATCTCAACAGGGACAAGAGTGAGCCTGAGCAACTCCCACCCTCTGTGCTGCCTTCCTGGTCCTGCTCACCGTCTGTCTCTGAAGTGCTCCTGACCAGCAGTCCAACTCGCTCGCTTTGCAGAGATGTCCCGAAGAAACTGAAGAGCACATGCTAGTCAAGGCAGAGACAGGCAGCCTGCTTGTTTGGGTTTTTCCAGTCTATTTCTAAAATGAGCTATTTTTCAAGTTAAACTTATAGATGGTCACCTGATGCGGGAGTTAACAACTTTGTCCAATTTGAAACTCTGGAAATGTAACTGGGTCAGCTGCCCAATTATGACCCCAACAGTGAATTTCTCATTTGGATATGGAGTTTTGTAATTTCTCTGCAGAGTCAAACAGGAAGAGAAGATTTAAAAATTGGCTTAGGCACTTAGAATGAAGTTTTTCTTCAGTTTAGAAATGAAGAGTATCCCTATTTTGGAAGTAAACTTATGAAGCCAAATGACGGAGGTATGAATAATTCTTCCATGGATTGTATTTCAAGCAACACAACACAGAATTTACATGATAAAGTTCTTAAGCTTAGCCTTCATTTGACAAGCAGTCCTTTCTATATGAACAGGAGACTGAGATCTTGGTTAGTCATCTGGAAATGCCAGGCTTCTCAGCAGGTTTAGAGAAAGCTGGAGGTAAGAGCCCCCGCAAGGCACGCCTTTCACATTATATTCCATACACTCCCCTGCACACCCCCACACAACAGCTTGACTTGTGGCTTCGCCACTATTAACTGGGCAGCCCCTGCATGGATGCTCTGTTGAACCCCCTCTCTCAGCACCAAGGCCTCCCCTTCCTCCCGCCTCCGTCCTTGGCAACGTTGGCAGGAAGATCATCCGCTCCCAAACTGACCTTCCCTCCGCCAATGTATTTTCCTTGGACAGATCTGTGCAGCCTTGGGAGATAAGTTTCAAGGTTTAAAAGAAATCTCTGAACGCCTGGCTCCACTTTCTATCCCAGCCAATGGCTCTGGGGGAAAGCACACGCGAGGCTAGGCAAACGCTCTTGCCCCTTCGGTGCTCTCTTCCTCAAGCGAGTTAATGCCAAAACCAGTTTTCCAACCCAGCCACGACCCACCGTGTTGCCCACGGAACACTTCGCCTTGCCAGCTGCTTCGGAGCCCACTCGACCGCTCCCAGACAAGTGTCTACAGCTGATCCAACTTTTAAAGTAGCGGCAGCCGCTGCCGCTAGGGAAAGAGGGGCTGAGATCCGAACCTCTTCCAGTCGCGTCCACCGTCCCTCCCTACACCTCCCCTTCCCTCCCCTCTCCGACGCAGAGGGAGCGACACAACCAACTATTCATTCTTTCTCAACAAAGAGAGAGGGAGGGGGATGTTGTCAACAGTTACTGGGCAGGCTCCTCCGCTTTCTTTGCAAACTCTCGGAGAGATTAGGGGAGAAACTCGCCTCCTCCAAGTCCAGGGCTTCCAGCGGAGCCCCTAGGCCCCCGCGCCCCCCGATCCCCTCGAAGAGGGGACCGGACGAGCTAAGCAAGGGCGGCCGGCCGAGCAGCCCCAACCGGCGGGGGACAGGGTGGGGGTCGGGGGAGACCAGTGCCCGGGAAGATGCCGCTCGAGAGCAAAGAGCAGAGATGCTCACCGCACGACGCTGAGCGGCTCCCGCCGCGGGCCACGTCTGGAGAATACCGGCCAATTTCGAGGGCCCCGAGGGCACAAGCCGGGTCCGCACTTCAGCCACTCCCGCCCCCAAACGCCAACTCTGCTGGGGGCAGGGGGAGCGCCGGCTCAACTTTCCCCCTATCCTAACTTTCCCCAACAAACTTCCCAGCCCATCCTCCCAGCGGAGGGGGAGACCAAGGCGCCCTGGGACGAGCAGCACCCCGACGGAGCGCGCGGCCGACACTCACCTCCCCGCGCGGCGCTCGGTGCCGGGGCTCTCCGGCTAGGGGCTCAGAGGCGCCCCTCGGCGGCCCCCCAGCCGCGGCTGCTCCCAGGGCGCGGGCCGCACATGGTCGGCGGGGCGTGCCCGCAGAAAAGCCCGCGCGCGGATCTCCCTAGCGCCCGGCGGCTGCGGCGGCTCTGGCCGGCTTCGGCTCCGGCTCCGGCTCCGGCTCCGGCTCCGGCTCCGGCTCCGGCTCCCGCCTCGGCCCCGGCAGCTGCAGGCGCGGCTCTGAGCCCGCGGCGCGCGCTCCAGCCCTCAACTGGTGATTTGCGGCGCCGCAGCCCCACCCCGGCGAGCCGATTCGCGCGCCCTCGCGGAACCCCGAGACATTTACATGCCGTGACCTCGCCTTGCCCTCCTCCGCGGGGTTCGAGAGTTTGGTTCCCCTCGTATCCGCCCCGCCCCCAAAAGTCTTGAAGTGAGGATTGGCCGCTTCCTCGCTGTACCCCTCTGGACGGACGATACTACCTATTCCAGTCCTCCTCCCTCCCCGCGTTAATTACCCCGCTGGCCCGCTTTGCTGTCTGCGGACACCTGGCTGGCTTGCAGTTTAAAGGGTTTTGATGAGGCAACGATCCAGGTAACCACAAATAACCAAATCCTGGAACAGGCAAATCAATCATACCCACCTGGACAAAGTGAAAGCAAAGTGGGAAGTGGAATTGGCGTTTCAGTACTAGGTAGGCTTAGTGGGGTGGAAAAGTAGAGCCAACTGGAGGTCTTACACTATCAGAAATCATTCAAGACCCTTTATAAAGCTACAGACATAGTAACTGGCATCAAGGGTAGACAAACTGACCAATAAAATAGAGAGTCCAGAAGCTGATCTACATTAAATGGTCACGATTTATGTCAAGGATGCTACTGCGATGCACTGAGAAAAGATGGCATGTCTGAACACCTACATGCAGAAAAAGGAAGAATCTTGACCCCCCCACCTCACACCATGTCAAAAAAAATCAATTCCAGATGGATTTTAAATCTAACTGTGAAAGATAATAAACCTATCCAAAGAAAAAAAGAAAAGAAAGACCTGCATGAACTTGAGGTAGGCAAAGATTCCTTAAACACACAGTACCAATTATAAAGGAAAAAACTGATAACTGGACAGCATTAAAATTAAGAACTCCTGTTCCTCAGAAGACACCATTAGTGAAAAGTCAAGCCACAAAGGGAGAAAAGATCACTGCAACACATGTATCCAATAAAGGACTTGTATACAGAATCTATGAAGAATGCTTATAGACCAGCAAGAAAAGGGCAGAATATCTGACTGAAAATAGGTAGAATATTTGAACAGCATTTCTCAAAAGGGGATAAACAGGCATTTCTTGAAACAAAACAATAAACATATGGAAAGTTTCTCAATTACTAATCATCCCAGAATGAAAACTGAAGATGCAATCTCTCACTTTACACCCACCAGAATGGATAAAATTAGAGAACTTTGAACAACACTTTACAGACCTGTTTGGTGAAATTAGCATGTAGCCTGTGACCCAGCAATTCCATCCCTAGGTTTGTTGTCTGCTCAACAGAGATTTATGTACACATTCACCAAAAGACATGTTCAGAAATGTTTATAGCAAAGAAACCACCCCGGGGCGCCTGGGTGGCTCAGTGGGTTGAAGCCTCTGTCTTCCGCCTGGGTCCTGATCCCAGGGTCCTGAGATGAAGCCCTGCTCAGGCTCTCTGCTCAGCAGGGAGTCTGCTTCCCTTCCTCTCTCTCTGCCTACCTGTGATCTCTGTCTGTCAAATAAATAAATAATATCTTTAAAAAAAAAGAAAAGAAAAGAAACCACCCAAGTGTCCACCAGTGAGAGAGAGATAAGCTCTGGGCAATAATATACAGTAATAACAACTACCTCTATACTCAACAAGATCATATCCTCACAAATAAGATGTTGAGTGAAAGAAGCTGAACACAAATGCATACATACTATATACTTCCATTTACATGAATTCCAAAAACAGTCAAAACAGATCTATGATCTTAAAGGTAAAGATAGTGGTTATCTTGAGGATTGGGTTATCTTGAGGGATAGTGGTTATCTTGAGTGGATTATCTTGAGGGTTGGGTTGGGTAGTGATGGAAAGGGAGCCCAGGGGAGGTTCCAGATGCAGGTAATAATACTCTGTTTCTAGAGTCAGGTGCTGGTTTATAGATGTGTCCATTTTATAAATATTAACTGTCCTTCATTTTATAAAAATTGGTTTGTGCACTGCTCTTCTTGCATGTTCTACTCCAGTAAAAATGTTTTGAAAATAGTGCCACACTGGGTATTTGGGGGAGTGGGAGGAGCAAAGGGAGGAGAGAAAATCTCAGGCAGTCTCCAGACACAGCACAAGCCTGGGGCCCAATCTCACCACCCTGAGATCATGACCTGAGCTAAAATCAAGAATCGGAAGCTTAACAGACTGAGCCACCCAGGCACCCCTATGTTGGATATATGTTATGTCATTTTCATCCCTTTGAGAAAGAATTATTGGCAAGTCTGTAAGATTCTAAGTACAGCATCCTTAAGAATGAGTTTCTACATTTTCCTCACAGGTGTTTTGTGGGTAAGTTTCAATTTTCATGAGATGATTTTATTATTTATTTTTATTATTATATTATATGTAATATATATTATTATTTTATATATTTATTTTAAAAAGTTTTTTGGGGGTGAATTTTCCTGAAATTTTTAGTGCAGTGAATGTCAGACCAGCCAGTATATATCTAAACTGAATTATCAGAAATACACTTACTTTCTCCTGCTCCGAAGTGTCATTAAAAACAGTGATAAAACATGTTGGATTTTCTTGATTTTCAGAACTGCCTAAGCGCCTACTATATATAAAGTTTCTACTTTGTGACACATGATAGGGAGATAGCAATAAAGAAAGACTAGACAACTCACATGTCGAGAGGCCTTGGGCAAGTCACTGTTCCTCTCAGTCCCTCCATTTCCTCATGAGTGAGTGAGTGGATGCATGTGAGAAGTCAAGGAAATAATAAATGTGAAAGTGCCTGGCATATAGTAGTTATCATTAACTATACTCTACTTCATGACACATTCTATGTCTTCATAACACCCCTGGGGGACAGGAACCATCTTTAGCCCCATTTATATGGGAGGAAATAGACTCAGAAAAGTTAAGTAATGTCAACCATAAATTCATTCAACAGATATTTGTTGCATGCCTACTATGTGCCAGGATCCATAGCTAGTGAGAGGCAGAGTCACAATTTAAATCAGGTGTTTTAAGTTCAGTGGTCTTTTCACCACACAACTACTTTCACACTTGTACCCCCAGTGCCTGGCTCATAGTAGGTGCTCAATACATTAATGGATGGATAATAGCTTTTTTTAATATATAGTTGACCCCTGAGCAACATGGGTTTGAACTGCACAGGTCTACTTATAAGAGGATTTTTTTGGATAAATACAGGAAGAGAGTACTGTAAGTGTATTTTCTCTTCTTTGGGATTTTCTCA